GTAGCCGACGTGCGCGTCGAAGCATAAGAAACGTGGAATTCTAGCGTGTTCGGACATCTTGTATTGGTATAAGTTTCGGTTCTTTTGTCTGAAGTCCAATAAAGCTCTCGCGGCGCTAGGGGCTTTTATTGATATAGACTGCAATTTTACGAACCTAAAGGATATTATATAGTTAGTATCAAATAGAGATACGATAGTAGAAAAAGGAGGGGGTAGTATACTTTGTTAAGGGTTTGCACAATCCTTCTGTTCTCTTGACGGGCGGTATGTCTCTGATCGGCCCACTCTATTTCTTCCCTATTATTCTGTGGGTTTATATCTATCTAACTAAGAAGCTCCTTTAGACTAAGCTATATAACATATGCAATACATAGTATACGAATGATCGGTATATAACTTAGAAGCTTAAGAGACGAAACAGCCTCTTCGAGAGTAGTTAGTAATATACCGTTATTCGATGCATTATCGGTAGTAATCGTAAGCACACGATTAGTAATTTGATACTTCTTAAGTAGCTCAAGTAGGATACTACTAAGATAGGCGCTAGTGTGGGAGCCACGAAGAGGTTCAAAGCCGAGTAAGATCTCACGGTAGTTCCACTAAAGGTCGATAAAGTAGCCTATAACTGCCATAAACGCCTGACGAAATAGGGAGGTCTAGCAATCCAATGCTATAGAAAGCTTAGCGCCCTCTAGGAGGGTTTGAAGCAGAGAATCCTAACGTTCCTTGACTATCTCCTAAAGATGCCGACGGATAGTCCTAGCACTAGGTATTTTAGGGATAGATAGGGCAGAGGAAGCCACTTCGATAAGGGCGCGAAATTCAGGGTGCTTAATAAGCTGGAATAGCAGGCGTAGAGCAACAATAAAGGTGGTTAACCTATCTATCTAAGCTCCCGGTAAAAACCCCTGTTTGCGGGAGGGAAGATTTGTCTGTAGAGAACTATATAAGTTAGTATAAAGTAAGCCTTGTAGATAGTATTTATACCCTATTCGAGATTATCTCTCTGATATCTTGTGTCTTACTCCTTCCCTTTTGATAGGTAGCGGCTTGTGAGAAATGCCTGTTTATAGTAGATGTTCCCCGGTGCCGGTCTACAGGATAAGCAAGGATATAATCACACTGCTTATATATCACCTTAGGGGATCTATCAGAGATTGTAGCAACCTGGTAGAAGTGTTCCTAAGAGCCTGCTAGCCGTTTACTATCAAAGATATTCCGTTTTGTTGCACTTCTATACTCGGTTTTTAGCCACCAAGCGACAAAATCCTCGTTAAATATCTCTGTCCAAAGGATATAGTTCTTCTTGCCAAATGGACCAACACGCTCAAGAGTTTGTGGAATCGGGATAGGTACTACCGGTCGTGTGAAGGCCACACTAGGAGTAGATGTTGGTGTTACGCCTCCGTCTAGGTTAAATGGCTTATTAGATGTAAGGAAAGAGAGTGTATCAACTAGGTTGTCCTTAAAGATAGACGAGGGATAATTATCCGAGAATTGGGATGCGTGGCTCTATAATATATTGATGAATAATTAATAGATGTTGGGTAGTGTGGCTTTAGAGTGATGGTCAAGATATACTATTATCTTTTATCTAGGCAAAAGAATCCTGAGGGGTATTCATATTCAAGAAAATGATTTTAGATAGAATAGGCTAGATTATAGACTATAATTGGCTGATAAGACCCACTCTACTTAGATCTATGCGGTCTTAGACCGCGGGGACCGCATAAAGACCGCAAGGACCGCATAAAGACCGCAAGGACCGTATAAGGACCGCAAGGACCGCATAAGGACCGCAAGGACCGTATAAGGACCGCCAATAGATCGCCAAAAGACCGCAAGGACCACCAAAAGACCACGAGGACCGTATAGAGACCGTATAAGGACCGCTAACGGACCGCCAAAAGACCGCAAGAACCGGTAGAGCTTATCAGATCCTACAAATAATCTATATCTAACGCGCATGAATCGGCCTAAATGATGACAGCTGTTAGATATCTAGTAGGAATATCAACAGTTTCTAGGCAATAGATAGGCTCAAATTCTGACGGCCGTCAGAAATCTAGTGGGGATATCAATAGTTTCCAGGCAATAGATAGGCTTAAATTCTGACGGCCGTCAGAAATCTAGTGGGGATATCAACAGTTTCCAGGCAATAGATAGGCTTAAATTCTGACGGCCGTCAGAAATCTAGGCTAGGGATATTAATGGTTATGACTCTTCCTAAGCGTACAAGTGCTCCGGTGTAGAAAATATATATATCTTTGCATGATCAGAAGTAAATTCTAAAATGTCAACCACAACAGTCCGAAATCGAAAGTTTATTCGTAATTAACTTAATACTAAGCTTCATAAAATCAGATACAAGGTAGTTTCAACTGTTTTATTGATTGTTAGACCTGATTCATTATCAAAATTTGTGTAGATACCAGAACAGTGTTAAATAACGGTAAAAAACGTGGCTGAATAATCAGTTTATACGACCAAACAAGGAAGGTCTTGGCATAATTATGAAATTGCGGGGGACCGCATGGGGGACCGCAAAGGACCACGGGGGACCGTGGTGCGGTCCTGACTACTTTGAAAAAAGACCAAAGACCGCATGGTCCGGTCCCGGTCCTCAAAGTTGGGACCGGACCCGGTCCTTGCCGAGGTCTAGTTAGGGGCTTGCGTTAATAAAGATCGCTAGGCCCCGAAGCTAATGCGATATTAGAATTAGATATCTACTAGATTAATTAGGGGCGAACCTTGTTTAGAGTGTCAATAATCTCCCTTTTCTAATACCTAGCCCGAACTAACTATTCCTAGGATTTAGTCTATTCGGCCTAGGCAGTGTTGTTCTTTAGTTCTACCTTTATCTATCCGAGAAGTTACTTCAAACTTAATTATATAACGTGGGCTATATATAGAACTCGAATGATTGCTGTACTATTACCGAGATCAAGAGACTAAACCGATTCTTGAATACTTGCCACTAATATATTATTGTTTGATGCATTATCGGTAGTGATAGTAAGCACCCAATCGGCTAGATTATGATTCCGTAGAAGCTAAAGTAGAATAGCACTAAGATTAGCACTAGAATATACTCCACGAAGTGGTTCAAATCTAAGAAGTAGCTCTCGATAGTTCTAGTCTTTGTTAATAAAAAATCTAGTGACTGCCATAAATGCTTGGGCAAAAGGGGACGTCCAATAGTTAAGGGCAATTAAGATTTTCCTATCTTCGGGTAAGCTCTCGAGTATTTTCTGATAGCGTTCGAAGACTATAGTGCGTAGTCGACTCTATGCTACTTTTGCAGACGGAATATTAATATCCTTAGGAGCTCTTTAGGCTATAGCTATAATATCCCGGAAGCCTACGTGTTTTAGGAGCTAGAATAGTAGTCTTAATTTAGTAATAAACCGAAGAAGACATGATTCCCACTTTTCTTGGCTAAACGGGGTATCGGTAGAAGGTACTAGCGCCTTAAGAAATCATTAAAATCGACGTATATAAGGATAAAGAGGGTATTATACCGCTTATATGAATTGCCTAATATTTAGGCCTCTCTTCTTTACACCATAGCTTGCAATATATTTCTTTATAGTTGAAGTGCTATTACCAAGCCCTAGGTGGTTTAGAATAGCCTTGCAAAACTTATATATTACCTTCGGTTCCCTATTAATAGCCCTAGCTACCTAGTCAAAATAATCCTAAATATTAGAGAAGTGCCGTAAGTCCTAGCGTAGGCGCTTCTTTCTTCCAAAGTCTGATTATAGCCACTATTATACAAACTCGATAGTTATTTCTTTAGTATATACTATATATAGAAGATTCTAAAACGCGTAGACTTATATTTAGGGGCCTCGCGATACCCCTATTCTTCGAAGACAAAAAGATAATATATCAATAAAGGCCTATATAGGAAAAAGAAAAGGTATATTAATTAGTTTATCGCGTATATATAGAATAGGTAACCCACGGGTTACCCGCTAAGAACCTATAAACCTATAGGTTACCCGCTACACTTAATATATTCCCTTTAAGTTAGTCCCGAAATACTAACGGCTATCGAAAAAAGCTTGTACGGTATATAAGGCTTTATAGAACACTATAACTTAATAATCGTATTAACTAACGGCCGTCAAAAGTACTAGTGCGATTGCTTATAGTCTATAGCACCCTTTTTGTGACGGCCGTCAGAACTTTGATGCCTTTGTTATAAATATCCGCTAAGTTCACTACACGTCTCATATATATATTTCCTATCTACAGAGCAGTATTCCAATAAGCATTTTTTTCACTACCATAATTATATAGAAAAACGCCGAGAGCAATGTCTATAACATTACCACGACTTACTATTCTGAAAACAAGGCAATTTCCTGAAATTTCACAAAAGAAAGAGAGGCTTTCGGGGAAGAACAGCAGACGTGACTAGAACAGAGGTAAATAACCGTAATTTAATTGACTTAATCAGCAGCCTTATCCATCTTGGCACGGCCTATTTAGGATAGTTATGCTGAAACGGGTTCTTGGCGGGTACCCGCGGGTTACCCGCCAAGAACCCGTAAACCCGTGGGTTTGGGTTTGGGTTTTGGGTCCATACCCGACCCATGGGTACGGTTCCTGAAGTCGTACCCAAACCCGACCCAAAGCGAGGTCTAAGTGTAGTATATAGGATGCTTTTCACTGCGCGTAAGTGCTGAAGGCTGCACTCCGGAGTAAGCGAAGCCGAGGCACTAAGAGGCCCAGCCAATGTTGTTTGGATCGTTCTTGAGTCGGCCTGTCTCTTGGCACCCATATAGTCGGCGTTTAGCCTTCACGACGACCGAAAACACCACCCATATCCGACTGCAACCCATCCATACCTCACGCACCCCTCGGCCTCAAATATTCTCGAAGCAGTAGAAAAAACAGGGCGCCACCGCACGCCAGGATCATGGGTGGTCTCCGCGGCGAGCCGAGATGTCCACCGATCCAAGCCCAGCTCGCTCTGGAGAGGTATGTAAGCTATGCAGATATCGAAAGAATCCCTCATCATTGCACACATCCTTGTCAAGAAGCACTCCCCCGTCCCAGTCACCATACACTTCCCTCAGGTTCTTGTCGCCGGACTCGTTCCGGCCATCGCCTTGGCCCGGGCTCTGTCTCGACGCGCCGTAGATTGCAGCCGTACCACCAGTCCGTCCAGTGGTGATAAGTGCGACAGCTTTGCATGCAGTCGGGGTCTCACGATCGACTACCTGAAGGCCCTGAACCCTGGCATCAGCTGCCCGAACCTCGACACCAGCAAGTTTTACTGTGTGATCTGTACAGTCAATGGGGAGCCCAAGACCACCACCACCACTACCACCGTGCCGACCGCCACTAATGAGCCCGCCATGCCGGGCATCTTCGACGACTGCGACGGCTTCTACAAGGTGTCACCAGGAGACCAATGCGACACCATTGCTACCGAACACGGGATCAGCAAAGCCCAATTTATGGAGTGGAACACCTCGGTCGACGACCGTAAGCCCACTCGTTCCCCTGGGTCTCACTCCTTTAATCTCCCTTTCCCATGCAAAGACAGACCCCTCTTAGCACGGCACAAGTCTAACCAACGCTCTCCCGTTCTCCAAACCACAGAATGCTCCAACCTCTGGCTTGACTACTAGGTGTGCGTGCACGTTCCCGGCGTCGCCACCGGGCTGCAGCCGCAGATGCCCGTTATCATCAACAGCTGTTAGAAATTCTACAAGGTGAAGTCCGGAGACAGCTGCTACACAATCCTGCAAGAGTCGGGACCAGATCTGTCCGGTTTCCGGAAGTGGAATACCGAGGCAGCAATCCCTGGGTCCATTACTATGTCTGTGTTGGTGTGTAATCTGTTGTCTCCACGGGATGCTGTCCAGTCGGTGTTCTAGCTGTTCCACTCGCTCATATGTTCCACTTACACAATACATTATGGAGCTATTATAATTTATACAGAAAAGTAAGATATCAAATGCATTAGACAATACCGATGTATAATTTATAAGTATTTTATACCAGTTTTTATGTAAAAGACTGGGTCGAGTTGGGTTCTGGGTCGGAACCCTCGGCCCAAAATTGGTTATGCAGAGTCTAGGCAGGTGCAGAATAGTGGTGGTATAAGGCCGTGGGCAGGTAAGGTGCTGCTAGACGTCCAAAGTTTAGGGTGACAAGACAGCCATTTCTGACGTCAAAAGCGGTCATTCCGGCTTCCTTTTCACAGGCCCTCATATTCAATATGTAAAACGAGTCGGTGGACCACTCGCCTACATGTACGACTTGATCACCGATTCGTTGTATCTTATTTTAACAAAATAAACCATTCATCAATCCATCCATCCTGTACCTAGTCAGTTAAACTAATTCACAAGCGAGCCGTCTCCACAATCGAGCCACCACCTCCAAAACGCGTAGTAAATAGGATAAATATGTGACCTTTAGCTAATTAGATTGTTGGGAGAGCCTCGACTGTTCATCTCCAATTCATCATCTTTGTCTTTCCTCCCCTTTTCCAGATACTGCTGTATCAACACGACTGATTACTCCTAACACACGGCTACTCCTAAATAATCCAATAACAGAGACATCTGTCATCAGGATCTACGCAATTGAAGCGCAATCCATCCAAACAGTCGATACACTGCAATGATACCGACGAGAATGCCCGCCCACTTTCCGTTTCTGCCAGTCGCATATCCGTAGTTTTGCAGGACACCAGTCCCGCGAATCTGGCATTGAGAAGCCAAATCTGTTTGGTACATGCAGTGGCAGCCGCTCCCACATGAATAATTTCGCTTCGAGAATTCGTTGACCATCATCCCCTGGAAAACATATGCCTGTAGATGATTTTGTCAACAGTTAGATCAACTAGGAAACTAAGATTGAAGATATGGAGGGGTTTCTCATCATACCTGATAGTCGATATAGTGGAAGACATATTTCCAGAACACGTTAAGAATTGTTATTGGGACCAGAAAACCACCCACACTCATCCAGAGTCCGTTCATAAAGGCCACGAGCGCGAGAGAAATCACAAAGTTGGGAAAAATAGACGCCACAAAGACCACAAGTGACTCGGCTGCGACTAGATCTAAGAATATCCACATCACCCACATAAAGAAGGCTTGGCCACTTGGGCGGAAGTTGGAAAGCCAGTATGAGACAATGGAGAAAAGTAGTGAGAATAGAACTGCAGGGTCAGTCAGCAACATAACTATTGGCTTGATGGTGTATGAGTCTCCTACAAAGGAAGGGTAGTCCGATAAGAAAGTTCGAGATCATGAACGGAGTCGCCCCGTATAATCCGTTAGCACGCTCTTTGGCAAATGTCGCACGGTCTTCTAGGTAGGCCGGAACGTACGCAACCGCCATAAAAGACATGAAAGCTGACCCGAAGAACTAGTATTTCACTACTCAGCCTTAATTAGCTATTCCAGCAGATGAAGATTACTCACAATTGCATTGACGTAGGGCTGTATATACTCCTGGGATGGCTGTAGACGAAGCCAGACTGTCCCCATCATTATAGCAAGACCTGCCCTAGGTTACTCTAAAGTAAAACAAGAAAGTGATGGCGAGGCATACCGAGATACATTACAATACGGATTCCGTAAGCCACGACATCACGATAGCTCTTGATGAATGAGCGATGCAACAGAGCACGTGTGATCCTGAGCGAACTAGGTCGACTAAGATCCTCTGTCAATAATTTTTGTGCCTCCTTCTCCTGGCGAATTTGTTCGAAACATTGTCTGGTGATGGTGACTGCCTCAATGGAGTTTGACCAGACATTTTGAATTTCCGTCACACGCTTCTGAGCTCGGTCCTTATCACCCCCAAAGTCGGAGCTCACAATATCGAGGAGGTACTCTGCTGGGTTAGTGTTTTTGGGAACTGGCTGGCCAATTGAGTTGAAGTAAGAATTCACATTGGGTACGGGACCGAAAAAACACGTTCTTCCCCCCGAAAGAAGCAGCAACTTGTCGAACAACTGGAAGGTAGTGGTCGAGGGTTGATGAATACTCGCAATTATGATTATCTGTCAAAAACAGTTAGAAAGAGAGCATGTTAACAATTTGAAGCGCCCAAACCCACGTTGTTCAGCCGGGCCAGTTCTTTGGCATACGACATGACTTCATAACTCGCGGTCGAATCCAGACCACTCGTCGGCTCATCTAGGAATAAAATCTTTGGACAGGTGATCAGTTGGCTTGCGACGCTGACTCGTCGCTTTTGACCTCCACTGATACCCTTCCGAATCGGGGTCCCAACTAGTGTGCTAGATTGCATTTGGATACCGAATGCCTCCAAGAGGGTTATGATACGGTCCATGCGCTGGCGCTTCATCACAGAGCTAGAGCAATCGTTAACTAGGCTAGAGGGGAAAACAGCTCGGAGTTGAACAAATCAAAGCATACCTAGGTAATGAAAGATCTGCTGCAAATTTCAACGTCTCCCGCACAGTCAAGGATCCGATCAGGGTATCCTCCTGCTCGACATACGAAGTCATGCGCTCAAATGATCTAGAAGCAACCTTGCCTCCATTCACATAAGTCTCACCTACCACTTTAGCTCCAGTTGAGGCAGGACGGCGAGCTAGGACATTAAGCAGAGTCGTCTTTCCACAGCCCGAAGGGCCCATCAAAGCCACCAATTCTCCTGAGTAAAGGTCAGATCTACGTTCGATACAACTCTAGACGCGACGCCGCATACCTTTGTGCACATCTCCGGTGATATTGCTAATAAGATCGCGTGCCTTCTTTGTTTGACGATCCTTAACAGTGACCGTCAATCCGGTCCATGAGAAATCCCGGACGGTCTGGTTCATCAAGAATTGGCTACCATCGTTACGCTCCAGGTCCGAATCCGGGTTGTTAGAGATACCCAGCGTGAGTGAAGTCGCCTCGTCCATGTTTATTTTGAATTGCGATGCTTACTCGCTCAACATATGAGATAAGTAGCTCCCTTTGCAAGAGCTGGAATGAAGATTCTCGGTCGTTCTCTTAATTTTAGCAGTATAAGCTATGATCGCAAAAGCCCCGAGAGCCCCTTTCCACGTTGGTCACGTCTTCATGTAGTGCGCGTAGTGATGATTCATTGTCAGCTAGGAATCCGCGGTCCCCGGCGGTAATAATATCCTATTGGCCGCCATTTGGAGCTGCGAGAGCGAGGCTCCCAAGCGGGGGTTAGGAAAAACTGGTGCTCGGGAACGCAGCGCGAAGATCGCGCTAACATGGTTTCGCGGATCCAAAATATCACTCCGAGTATCGGCCTTCCAAGGATACTTTGGTATAGGCGGCAATGCAGACCACTTGAGAGGTAGATTCCGGGACGACAAAACAACCGGCCGCTCCAATTGGGTCAAACAGTGTTTTGGTCGAAAGCCTGGACCTCCGCATCAACGCTTACTGCCTCACCGCCCCGTCATAGCACCAAGGGGTTTGATTGATGTCCGCCGTAATGAGTTTAGCGTGCTCGAACAGGCAGTCTGGACGCTGAAGGTCTCATAGAACATTCGAGACCTTTCTAGCTTTCAAGTAAGAGGTCATATGACAGTCCTAGGCCGCAAAGTTGTCCGCTTCATGTCAGATGGCTGTCCGTGGCGGACTTAAACGGACCATTCCATCCACAATATTTTGATTCTGGCCATAAAGAAATTCGGAGTCTCCTTATGTGGAACGTCGTTCATGGGATATGCAGCGAAGCTTCTCTAAAATTTTACAATTCTCGGCTCCGAGATGCATTGCTACTAACTGTCACATCAAAAATAGAGTCCATGGATTGAAATCTTAGCCTATCAGATCGTTTATGAGAACGCGCGATTATTTGGTTAGATTGTCATCACTTTGATAGATCACAACATCGAAAGTGTAGATTGTGTTCATATACGCACCGTGAATTATCATTTGCCCGTCACATTACGAATTGTGTAAATGTTGCGAAGTCATGGCTGGCCGATCCTAGGGCGTTCTCGATGACGTAATGTGATGTCACTGAGCTCTGGATGTCTTGTATAAGTTATCAATATGCCGCAGCTCGTTCCTTTTTCCTCTGCGATACTGACTAAGTCTCACTCCCTTCACCTTGAGCTAAATAAAAGAAAACGGCAGCGTCTACTTTGCTTGAAAATGTGGGAAGGTTAGTGCTTAAAATCAAATCATATGGTTTAGTGATCCATAGAATTTTATGATCATCTAGATTCCCCCCATCAAAACCGGGCCGAAGAACCTTCGATTGGGCACACGATTGGAGATCATCGTAAGCACCACCACGAAGACGACCATCACCACCACGAAGACGACCATCATCACCACCATGATGACCATCACCACCACCATGACCATCACCATCATGATGACGATGGCGATCACCGCCGTCATGAGGAAGGCCATAATGAGGATAAAGTGTAAATAATTTTTGTTCAGAGAAATCAGGAGAAATCAGAGGTATCACTGAGATGGCGAAAGAATGGCGAAGAATTTGGGAGCCGAGACCAAATCCCATGGAAGTCTTCAGAGTAATTCAGTGTAGTCATTCAATGATACATTCACAACAAGTTACACTATGCAAATCGTATGTATTCTGTAGACATTAATTCATAACCAATTAATTATTTCGCTCACACTACCTAACAGAACCAAATTAAAGCAATTATCACCGGCTGGGGCACTCAGTTACTCGTAGTCGCCTTGTGTGACCGACTTGAATCCTTCGTCCAAAGTCGCAACTTTGAAGCCGGCTTTAACAAGCATCTTATAAGCAAAATATCCCGATATCCAACCCAGCAATAGACGCTTTAGCGAAGTAGGTTTTAGGGAATATTCTGAACAAATGGAACGTGAACTTGGGTTAACTCTTCTGGAGAACGTACATCGACAATTTGCCAAATTTGAAATAGTGATGATACTCTCTCGTGGTGAACGATTGTCACTCGACCTCGAAGGAAATTGGTATTTACGGGATATTTTACCGAGTCAGATAGTGGTGTATATCCTCACTTAACGTGTTATAGATCAAAACTAGAATTCTTAGCTTAGAATGCGATTCACAGGAAATCGGTACGCTTATCAACTCCTTTGCTCCTAATTTCCCAAAGGTTTCAAACCATGAATAGAAAATCCCGTGATAGTAGCAGAAAGGACAAAGACCTAGTGGATGAATGTGCCAACGTTCCCCCGGTATATTGTTGATTCGCCCAAAATGTCACCCGCAGCAATATGGCCCTGTCGGCTCGTAGAGTCCACCTGGGTTAGAAGAACATCCATGTTCTGGCTTTTGGTGATCGTCGATGAGTGCGTCCATTCTTGGTCCCGAGTTCATGATATTCAACTGTAGCACACGTAGATTGTTCTCTAACATTGAGGGGAGTTTCAAGTCGCGATGGTTGGCCCTAGTTGGGTGTTCGCCGCTAAATTCGAGATATCTCGTTCCAACACGCTGCCGCTCATATTGGCCCTCACAATGGCCACATCGCGGTGTCCCCTGGCACGAACACGTCAAGTGTCCAAACCGTTAACACCGGAAACATCTCTTCTTCTTAATCCCGCGGTATTTATCGCTGCCGATGTAATTTTGACCGACTAGAAGGCCACTGTTTAGGACGTATTCAGCCCCTTCGCGGAATCGAACCATATCCCGAGTGATGCGAACTTGCCCAACACCTGGTCTTTCCTTGTGAGTCATGCCACCTCTTCAATCCAGAAACTCTGTCCCAACAAGCTGTTTTCTTCCATAATCTTCTCTATAGCCTTAGCATTTGCGTTATCTAAATCAAAGTTCTTTGTCGGGGTGCGGTGTACCACGATGCAGAACCGTGGTTTGACCAGTTTCGTACTATTTCCTAATTCATTCAACTACTCGGTGTTGTCGCGAACTCCTAACCCTTGAATCGGACCCCATAACCTGTTTAAGTGATGCTAATTCCGACCACCTGGGTGACTTGCGTGGATGAAGCGTTTAGTAGCGCTATGCGGATATGGGCGTTCGTCGCGTCTGTAGGGAGAAAACGGCCGAATGTGTTTCTAAAGCTGTTCTTATTGTCGCGTGGGTTCACGAATGCTCTTTGCGCGCTAATTCGGACGCAGTTCTGGTTTTTTCGGGGCGCTGGCGTTTTGCTTCCGGGCGGGAAGCTTTGCCGTTAGCCACTTACGCAGCCATGATCTTGCCGGGGGCTTAGGTGGGTAAGTTTTGACTTGGGATCGCAGAGCGAGCTCATGGTAAAGCTCCTTGTTCTGGCCGAAGAGAACATTTTGATCGTGCTTGACCTCTTTGACTTCGGCCTTAGTGGATTCGATGAGTGCAGCTTTGTAGGTGATGATTGTCTTCAGACTGTTGATGAGCTTCCACACTTCTCTGGTAGTGAGAGGATGAGAAGACATCCTCACTACGGGCGCTCTTGCGGGATACCGGCAGCGCCTCGATTGCAACCCGAGGCTAAAAGTCCTCGATCGATAAAGTAATGCTGCGCTTGTGGAAAGGGGCTCGGGAGTCCCCGTGGGTGGGTCCGCCATCGGTCCGGGGTTAGTTCCCGCTCGGTACACAGCACAACAATTTTATATCGCAGTAATAGCAATCACAATACTCGATCCGTTGCTGGCTGACATCCCTGTAGCAGTACTCGAAACTCAATTCCCTGAGATAATACGAATTGTATCTGATGGTACAGTGATTCTCGAAATCGGCTTCACCAATGCACAGTCAGTAACTCTGTTCTAGCCCCATCGCCATGGCCTTAGCGCGTATAGAATGTTGAGCAAGCACACATTAACTTGAGGGGCAACAATGAAATGCTTTAGTATGGCCATGTGTCTTGCCACGTAAAATTACATCTTTTACTTTGACCGTTGAACGATAAACTACTCCTTTTCCCGGGATAGGGAACCCGGACCCGGGGAGTTAGGGCTCCAAGGTTCCAAGGTCCGAGTATGCACACATGCTACAAGAACTTGTTTCTGTGACCGAGCACTAACCTTATTCAGTATGAAGAGAAAGGCCCCTAAATTGGCAGTGGCTTATCCATGGTTTGGAATTGCTCAAAGAGAAAGCTTATATATATTCTGGTTTCTATACATTGAATCTGCGTTCGTTCAATTATTGTATACTTTTCAGCACAGATTACGTATAGCCAACGAAAAGAGTTTTCATATGGAAGCGTAGCTAGCAGAAATACTGGATTTCTACCAAGAAGCGGCTAAATCTGCAAGGAATCTTGAATAACCTAAGTTCGCTTGTAGCGGAGCCGTGTTGCGCCGCCCGATGGTGCAAGCTGTCCAGCCGACCGCGTACTCCCAATCCAACTAGTCGAACTATTTCGTAGGTGCCTGATTTTTTAGGGCAGTTATCCCCGGGCTGAGTTGTGGGGTTGTTTGGTGCCATCACTAAATCTCACAACGCGCTTGCGCGTGGCCGGTGGTGAAAGGGCGGAACGACTCAACTGTGAATCTTAGTACTATAACGGTAACAGCCTCGGAGGTTTATACTTACACCGAAAACCCTCCAAACCCATTTGAGTGTGCCCACATTTTGCGTTGTCACATGCCAGACTATTCCCTTTGACAAGTCTTTGGATGGTAATATCGTACACTTCATTTGTGGCTTCAAAATAGAAGCAATATATGCTGACGAGACAAGCTGTGTGCGCGACACCCACGGTCCATAAAGCCATGTTGTATCAATTTCTCGATCCCTGATAATTATTAGTGGTGACTAGTCTGGATTTCATTGCGTAGTGGGTCAAAATACCATTGAATTCTCTGTGATGGGCAACTTTTTAGCCGATACTGCTGTTTGGGCCATGCCCTCCATAAAGCATTTTCAAGCCGCGTTGAATCTCTCAAACTTGTCTTTGTTCTCGAAATATACCTTCTTGTATCTCTCAAATCGTTACTCTCCCAGAAATGCGACAGATAGTCTGTATTGCACTGGGGTCTGTCTTCGAGGAATACATCGTCACGGAGAGTAATTTTCATGTTGGTGCAGATATCATCAAGCGCTTCAGCCAAGATAACCAAAAAGAATCCGTCTTTCAAGGGGAGAATACATGAGGAGTGCTTGAAAATGGTTCGCGTTGCGATATGCTCATATTGAGGCAGAAGGTGCAGTTACAGGGATTATCTCCAGCAACCAGCGAAGGCATTGTTGCAAGACCCGAGGTCCTCTTCACATTATTGCCCAAAACGGCGAAAATCTAACCGTTCACCCACCCCTTACAGTTCGCCTTGAAAGTGACTTTCCGTCTTAGGTCCCAGGGGTTTGCTTGTCACATTACCAGGCTTTACGGGAAATGAAACATTCCAACCTTCCAATCAACGCGGGTTTGATGCAAACACTCGTTTATCTCTCTCGTTCCGGACTTGCTAAAATGAATGATAACGTTTGGTTCTGAACCCGGGTTATTTCAAAGTCCTTCGGGTTATTGTGAATCGTCATATCTATCGTGCAAGAAGGTCGGCTAAGAGTCTCCATGTTTTAGAAAAGAATTTGAAATGATATTTTATGATCAATAAAATCTGGCCCATGAACGGTAAAACGTTACCTACCCTATGTGCATTGTCAAGGAATATGCCTTGAGTCTTTTGCTTTTAGCCTTGTTTCCTCGCTCCCTCTTATGACTGGTCGGCTTCTTATCCGAAGTTGAGAATGCCCGGAAGCTGGCAGGTGAGCCCCACTTGTTGAATGCCACGCTTCGGATTAACTTCCGCTGAATGTGCGTGCAAAGCATCTTTCCGTGTTTCCAAATTAGAGTGTTATCTCCCCTGAATATAATTCAAATCCCGAACAGACACACACAGCCAAGAGCACAGCCAAGAGAAGAATGTGATCTATGGACAGTCACCATTTGATCTGCCACGAATATTGAATCATAAGCAACTTCTTTTCTTCACAGAATCGTGCTCATCGTCACGAGAAAATCCGAATTTTGGGAAGAGCGACTGAATTTTCCGACTACTGGCAGTATAAGAGATAGATTGACTATTGAAAAATTTGGCGAATTTCGGTTCAAAGCTCGCCCAACTGTGGTCTGAGCGTCTACGCAATCGCTAGAATCGAAATGGTGAGGCTCTTCAGTCCTATGCGGTCCTGTCGTGGTATGGATCAGTATTTACATAAATTTACCAATTATTTTTATATTTTAGCTGTACAAAATTCCTAAACACTATATGTAATCTACACTTGTAAGTTGTTCTCACGTGCGCAGTATATACTGTCGGCTATATGAGAGGTCATCAATACGGCTTGTTCAGCCGTGCCAAGTGATCACCCTATCATTTGTATTGACGACATTTCCTTCACTCTTGGGGGTTATATCTAGATACTACCGGTTTCAACTTAGAATCTTTTTGAGGATCCAGCCAAATCAAGTCCATTCCAAGGTGTCTCTCGAGAGATTCCATGGATAATTAATGAAGATGTGGAAGTTACTTGCCTACCCTTAGATTCTTCGACTTCGTTATCACCTTCGTTGTCATTGTGGACTGACTTCTTTACTGCAGGCGGTATCCAAACTACCGCCTAAAATTCAAATCGAGGCTATTGGAGAACGTGTAGAAAAAGGTTCAACAATGGTAATTGGCGGCATAAATCAAGGCGTGCGTATCGTCCCCGCGACCGCACCCATTGTTCTCTAAACATGGCCAAGAAAGCTGCAAGCCACGAAGTCAATATGAGCAAACGTAATCAAACTCCCTGGGAGCTGACTGATGGGGCGGCCGAACTCTAGATCGAATCTAGGAACTCATATACGCTTGGCTTTAATTCGACCCGAGTAGTTCATGAAAATCAGGCATTGCTAGCTAAATCCCTCATTAGACTTGGTCATTCAAATACTTTGGGCGCTAGACTCAAAGCAGGAATTTTGTCCATACTAGTAGTTCCTTGGAGATGTGATATCATTTAGACGGTGCTTTCGCCCTATTGAAGCTTCCTGGCCAATGATATACTTCATCCAGCCCTCAAGCTATCCAATGATATATCAGCTCGAGGAACGGTCAGACCAATATCTGCGGATATTCAAGCACAGCAAGACATCTTTGAATTCATACCTTGATCTATTCCTTTTCTCTTCTCAGAGCTCATTGTATCTTGAACACTCAATCAAAGCCTAGTACAAAATTTCAGAGTTCTCAAGGTAGTGAACAGACCTTGCACTGTTTAATTTAGGACTCCATTTCTAACACCAAATTTGGGGGATATCATTGTGCTCTATCTAGGACTAATATTTGGTAAGAGAAGATTTCTTGGAGCCACTATACACCTGACTCGATGGTCAGCTGTTCACGATAATCATTAATCGCAGCCTGTTCTTCGATAAACTATCAAAAAGGAGTGACTGACCATGTTAATTCAGCCGCGAAATGGGATCACGCTTGTTACGTTGTCTTTGAATTATGCATTGTGTATTCATAGGTATCTGGAAAAGCAGTCTGTCGAAAAGCTTCCAGATATATCTTCGAGTAGTTCCGCTTTTACTTGGAGAGTTAGAATATTACGACGAGAGCATTCAAGAATTCCGCTCTTTTCAGTCGTTTCAGTCATTTCGGTGTTTTCTTCCCATGTGGGTTTCCATTCTGGGGTGAATTGAAATACGTCAAATATTCTCCAACTGTTTGAACCTTTGGTATAGAAAATCGCGGTACCCCTTTTCAATCAAAGTGTGCGCATGTTTTCATATTTTACTTTTCTCATTCTCCAGACAAGATTGAGAACATGGAGTATCATACGCATTTGAGGTTGGTTCATCGGGATTATAATGTTCAAGGGCTGATGGTGAAAACACCCCTGGGCTCCTGCGACTAGCGCTCTTTTTTCATCTTCTTGGCGTTCGCAAACGGAGTTATTCGTGTGATTTCCATTTGATGAAAAAGTTTTTGAAGTGTTGTCACCTTCTTGCAGTATACTGATATCTTCAATACGTTTAATCTAGATTCCTATATAACGCTGTCAACAAACCAGGTATGGAACCTTGAGAATAGTGGGAGCGCAGAAAAACCTCGGTCAAAATTACTCGGCGTTATCCAAAAGCTTAGAGTTTATCGTCCAATAAAGCTGAATGGTTTTATAATATTCCGTGAAGCGAGGTTTTGTTGTGACCAGGTGCCAGAGCCTCGTTCAGATATGATCGTTGAGTCACACGGTAAGCCATAGCATACGCTGTCAGAGGTTCTTCGAAAGAAACATAGAATATATAGTCCCCACGGAGCTTGATGCGCTACTGGAAGTGAGTAATAGTAACGCAAACAAAAAGAATATATTATTTTTTGTTCTCTTGCTTGTGTTATTAAAGCTCATTCCATCAAAAGGCTGTGGGAATAAACAGACTGTGTGTTACATCATTACCAAGTAATTTGATAACCAAGAAGAAACGGATTTGATCAACCGATAGGCGTTCAGGACCCATGACGAGTGGGCGGGTGGGCTCCATAATTCATGACAAAGCTTTTTTTTCTTCTTTTTTTAGGTTATGGAAGCATAGTCTTCAGGTCTGTTTTAGTTACGAACGTCTTCTTCAGTGCTACTATATTGATCTCTTGTATCCGTTTACATCGCCCTATTTTCACTCAGATATGTTACATTAGAAATTGTGGTTCGCAAGCTAATTGTTCTATGACGAAGGAATCATGTTTGGGTGAGTTTGCAATGACTTCTGTAGACGGCTGTTTCACCTGGCCAATCAAAATACGGAAGGCAAATCAAAAATGTCTTCGTGTTTATGATATTGTTACTATTAGTACCATAGTGACTAGATTGGCCATATCAAGTTTCCTCCTTTGAACATCAGCAGGAGGGCCAAAAACTATTCGTTTTGTTGGGCTTTACTGAAATTTTGATTTTACATGTTGATTAACCTTTCAAGAACTCAAGTTGGCGTGAAGCTTACTTTACTACTTTACTTGTTCCTAGGCTTAATGCAACAGGAAGGTAGAATCCAGCCATGTTTAATAGCCACAATCCCGGAACAAAATGTAAATTTCTCTTGAAATCAACTTTCAGGTACACCAGAAGCCATAATTGGAAAGCAAAATGTTTGCTCTGCCCGGGTTGGCTAACACCACAAATCAGTCCAGAATGTCCACTTTCTTCTTGCTATGGGACTTATTCGATTTGGGAACCTCCAACGATAGCACTCCGTTTTTCAGGTGGGCATTGGTGTGGTCTTGGTCGATGGCAGTTGGGAAGTTGAATGTCCGTCGGAGATCCCCTACCAATCGTTCGGATGCACGCCACGAACCTTTCTCGGATGTGGACTCGCGTTCACTGTGAGCCTTGATGTTGAGGCAATGCTCATCTTCAAATTCAATTTCTAGGTCTTTCTGTTGAACGCCAGGTAGGTCACCATCGAGGTAGTAAGCCTTTTCTGTCTCGCGAACATCAAAGGATGGCGCGTATGTTTGAAGGTCACCAAGATTGGAGAACATGTTTTCATAGTTATCAAGGAGGCGGCTAACAGCAGAGAGCCCACCTCGGTGAAACTGTGGGATCAACGACATAATGTTTGGATTTGTGGGATAGTGTTGTCTGGATAGTGTCGTGGTGTGTCTTGGCCGCAGACCGATTTTGAAGATATTGGTGCGGTCGTATATCATCGATGATTAGATATTGCATTAAATACCCCTTTTCGTGGCAATTCTAGCCTTCGTGGCCTTCTGATGACTGCAATCGCCACCAAGTCAGGCCATATGGCAACGTGAATCTGGACCCGCCTAGACTCCACCTAGACAAAAACAGATAACATTATGCAATAATTAGCGCTGTTAGTCAGATATATATGGTCACATCAAGCTCTAGGCGTGCTTGAAGTGTTCCTTCTTCTTACAATTCAAGTCAACCGTGCGTCAATATAGATCCAAAATCCATTGCAAAGCTAACTAAGAAGAGCTATCATCACTTATCTTTTCTTAATGGAAAGACACAAAGTGCCGCCCGCAGGACTTTTTGTCTTCCCGGCTCTAGTTCTGTTGGATTCGCCGACCCGACCGGTATTTTTGGAATGGCCTGGCCCAGACATCCAAAAAAATCCGTAGTCAATGTGTATTGATCATGAGACTTTGAGTTTATAAAATTCTAGGATGCGACTTGTAAAATGGTCCCAGTCTGCAGGATAAGTCGGATTTGGAAGGAATTTGCTACTGCTAGCGGAGGACGAAATTACAGCCTCAAGCTACCAAGGTTATTATGAGCCTAGTGTAAGTTAAAGGCACTGTGAATTTGGTGGTAATTTCATTGAGCAAGCAACGGGTGAAAGCAGGGAGAGCTAATTATTCAGTGCAACTGTCCGTCAGGGGTGAGAAAATGTGTCAGTGCTGCATTCATGAATACGGATAGAGAACCGGAATTATAGTAACTCCGAATGAGCGGATTACTAATGATGAGCATAGCATAAATAGCAAGAAATAGCAAGTAATAAAAGACAGAGATTTCAATGCCCTTAGGCAATGCCCTTAGGCTGAGCAAGTTACGGAAGACAGCAAGTTCCAACAAAATGCAATGTGCTCCGGCTTCCTGTCACCTGACCTCTCAAATTGGGCGTCCGTCGGTGCCTAAGGTCTCATACGAATGTCAGTGCTAACTAAGTTCATGCTTGGAAACCGGATTTATAGTTAACTCCGAGTACGCAGGTTACTAAGGAGAAGCATAGCATAAAATAACTAGGCTAAGTTTCAGCGAACGTGGTGACCAAGCGGCGTCACCCTTCGCACTGCGACAGCACGCAGCATACCAATGGCTCCAAGTGCGGTAGCTAAGTCGGGTATCTTCGTGTATGGAAAGTGTTTCTCGGGAGTCCTTTGTATGTCAAAGAATATGACGGCTTCTGTGGTATCTATTTCAAGGCTGTTATCATCTGTTTATTGAAGAGAATTGCACTAGCAATGAAGATATACTCAATTAGTATATGCGGGCTACCTTTGCAATTTATAGAAATTTGAACGATGTGCCCCAAAAGAATAGCTTTCCAATATTCATTACACGTTCCAAATTTAGCACTTATACCAAACCAAAAGTAGCGCAACCTAGGACTTTGAACGATTTGAAAACTTTGAAGAACTTGAAGAACTTGAATTATAATCCAAACGGATAGGTCTCCTCTTTTCCCAAGCCTGTTATTGGTTCATGTTCCTCCAACGGTCGTACTGCCTGCGTAGAATCAAACCATACGTATGCGTCGAACTGATTGGACAAGTTAGCAGACGAATAGTGGGATAGCCTCTCCGTTTCAGGTCTATATATTACGCCAATAAACCTTTCAAGTCGGTCAGGTTCCTTTTCCAACGCACGTGCCAATTCCGAATCGACACAATCCTGTCTTAAATCGAGCACAAAGCTCGGAATCCCTGTCTTGTGGGCTATATATTCCCAACTGTCTGTTCGTGACGGTAAAATTATCATTCTTTGCATATCTTCATCCCATCCATGTGCTGCTGCCACAGTTCCTGAGTGTGTACCACATCCTAAGAGAGCAACATTTTCACGGCCGAATTGTTCACGGCATAGTTGGCCGATATTGACTTCTTTGCATTTGATTCCCATGCTGGTGTATCGTGCATCACCGCAGTGGGAGTTATGAGCCCATACCACGGCTTTTATGGCATTGCCTCCTGAGGACTTGTGCTGAATGATCCGATGTAAGGTATCAAGCATATGTGCATCACGCAGATTCCAAGATGACGCTGAGCTGTAGTACATGGATTTGTAATAACTCTCAGCGTCACGAACCACGTGGGCGTTCTGCTCAGTACTATGGTATTCCTCGCCATCTTGTGCGTGCTGTGCATATTCAAGCCGATTTTTGAGAAGTTCGCATAGCATCTGAACAACACCTTTCTCACAATCTGTCATACCAGACAAGGCTGCTAGTCCATATGCCGTGGGTTCATCCACCCATCTTTCAAGACAACTATATCGCTGTCGCGCAGCTTGGCTAGCTGCTGGATCGACGTGGTCAAGGTATTTGATTACTGCTTGGATTGACGCTCCCATGCTGTAAAGGTCGAGACCATAGAATCCGACTTTCTGATTATCCGGCAGAGCGCCATTGTGACTGCGCATCCATTCAACTAGTTCTTGCATTTCATGATTTCGCCACATCCATGTCGGAAAGCGGGAAAAGGGGTCGTAGCCACTCGGGGGGCCTCCAAGGTGTGACTTATGCCCAGGACGCTGACGCACATAACGATCGATTATTTCTGCGTCGGGCCAGTCAGCCTCAACGGCAACTACGGTGAAGCCGTGGTGATCAATCAGGCGTTTGGTGATTTCTGCCCGAGCAGCGTAGAATTCTGATGTCCCGTGACTACCATCACCTAGAAGAACCACCTTAAATTTACCCAAGCTATCAAAGAACGACCCGAAAGTGGGGTTATTGATAGGAGGTAAAGGTCGAGCTGCCACAGTAAATAATTCCTTCAAATGTGACATAGTGATGAAGAGTATCTCGCATTGGGCGATATGTTTATTTGCTGACTTCTATATATACTACAAATCAAGACAAATTTAATCGCCAATTTCAACATATTTCGAGGAATATGAGATCATGTGCAATTCAGTGGCCGTCACGGTGACTTCATGCAGCTCTGCGGTAGATAGGTATGGTCTGACAAATTCAAAGGTGTGGTCGATCTTGATTGGCTGAATATGGATTCCAGACCTGTCGCTGTCATCATTGTATACGATTTAGCCCTTGAAGTAACCCTTGATGTTGGACGTCATGCAATATATCTTAAGGCGAATGGAAAATACCCAACACTCACCGTGCCTTAAAACAATTGGTCCAATAGAGGTCATATTAGGTCATACTTTGATTTGATTATCCCATGACGTTTTGAGTAGGAGTAACAAATAGCTTGATAGGATTTTCTACTCCCTTGATGAGTTCTTGGTCCGATGAGAAAAACGAGAATATACTATGTCCCACAGTTTTCCTTGCCGAGCTCCATGATCTCGGCCCTTCACCGCTTCATGTAGATTGCATGATAATGACAAATTTAGAGGGGGCGTTTTCAGCTGGCCGCATCTAGATAGTGTGCTAATATATGAAAGTACGATAGGGCGGGAAGACATCATCTGCACGTTCAGAGCACATAGTGTGAGAGTTTAAACTACATGTTCCCACCTCTCGGGAACCATTAAGCAGGCTATCATGAGCACTGCCAATAACTCTTCGAAAGTTGGGATAGAATAGTTTCATTCGGTATCGTCGCTGGAAATAGTGCTATCGAAGCGACCACGTTTACTAGTCTACTTGTTTCAATACTTGGCGTGGCAGCGTTGAATATCTGGGCATGCTTGAGATTTGTATTGTGAAGTTTGCCAGCTGTGTCCATTGAGCGCCCAAAGACGCGTATTTATTTGCTAGTCCATATCTCAGGAATAAGCTATGGGAATTTCCCCGGAACAGCCTGGCTGTCATGTTGCTATGACCATCTCACTGGACTTTAAAGCCCCCTGTGCTTGCATGTCCCCCCAGATGGCTACGAGAGCAAGAAATAACCTGGATGTCCTTCGGATGCTTTCAATGTATCCTGGGCCTGGTCATTCTATCCACCGGACACGGCAATAGCTTCCAAACCTCTGAAGGTTTAGCCGTAATGGCAACTTTCAGTTATGCAACATCATGTACTATGGAGGGGTTGGTCAGGCGGCTTATGGGTCTCTGGTGATATTCATGGCCATTGCAACATTTATCTCTTTTCTGGTCTCTGACCGCCATGAAAGAACATTTAGCCGGTCGAAGCAACGCGGCAATCAGAGCATTGAGGTGGATCCTCTTAGTTTTAGCGGGGGAGCAGGGGTACGGGATACAGCTCGCGGCTTTGATAGATGGCACGTTCGAGGTCGCTACTAGACATAGATCATGTATGATCGAATCATTGGGATAATGTGGCAAATGAAGGGTTTTGATATGAAAGGGCTCAATTCTTGCTGCACGGTGAGACGTTTCATGTGTCCTAACGTACTATGTGGTTTCATGTAATTTATATCAAATGTCATGAGCAACATTTGTTAGCGATTATTCTTTTCAGGTCAGATTACAAGGGCAAAGTCGAACTGTTATTGTCACTTTTGAAGGTGCCTTTGAACAATCTCTACCCCTTCTTAAACGGGGAACAAGCCTCTATCCATAAAGATAATTTCCTGCTACCTTAATATTGTACTCTTACCCTCCTACGTATGTGCCTCTTGGAATACCTTCTGCAGCTATAATATAACAAGGATACGTTTTGATCGCACTAGAATGTGTTTTCTGAGCACAATAGGTGATCCCCAGCTTTATCTGTAGTGTATCTGGATTATTGAAAATAGGCAATCATGCCCTAATAACGTTTCGACGGATAGTCGCAAGCTCACTAGCACCGAGCTTCTTGTATTAGGGGACAATATCTCTAAACCCCCGGAAGAAATCTTTAGGATCACCAATTTTCTTTTAGGTGAGGATTGCAAGCTTTATAAGATCCAACATTTGGAAATCGTTCGATGGCTCGATAAAAAGAATTAACAGCCACACCGCTTATTACCCCTCATCGTAGTGGACTATACCAACATAGTATCAAAGATAACCGGCGCTTAGGCTTCGAAAAGGGCTTCCCTGACAAGGCCTAAAAGAGATTTTGGACTCTAATAATCATTAGGAACGTGGGATGAGTTCAAAAAAATTAAATGCTGTATAGTAGCCCACAGTGAAACAGAATTTATTTTTAGAACAAAGATACTTGACGTTGTGTTTCAAAAGGTGAAAGCATAGGCGTATTTGACTAACCCTTTGATAGCCAGAAAGGCCTCCATAGATGCAAGGCCAAGTAATATACGTAAGAATACTATGTCATTCTTATATAGCCCCAAAATTACCCTTCTAGAAATACTGTATTCCTTCGGTCCAGAATCACCGAAAACAGCATATCGCTATCCGTTCTAAGTAAGTCAAAGAGCGAGGCCCTTTTTAAATGAAATAGTAAATCCGGTCTCCTCTTTGCAATCGGATCAAGTATTAAGCGAGGAAAGAGATTTGATCGGAAGCTATAGGTCTTTTAGTTACAACCCTTAGAATATGCATTATACAACTTACATCGGGCAAGGACGGGGAGGAATCTCTTGTGCTTCTGACTGTAGTAAATAGGCCGCTATCTAGGGCGGACGCTAGCAACAACATTCTCCGCAAATCGGGCCTAGGCCTGATTTCTTCTGTTGATTGAAACTAGACCTTAACGGGTTGTATCCTGTAAATACTAGACCCCTTTCTTATAAAATGCCACTTCGACTAGGCTACACACACTGTTGATCTAAAATCGCTAGGTTGGATATGCTATCCGACTAGAGTGAAACTGACCAATGGTCTATTAGCGGTCAATCTCCCTAGGCGCCTTCTCTAAGGACCTTCTTCGCCTTTTAGAGTTGCAGTTAAGTCTTCTATAGTACTAGAAAATATTTTCTTCTTCTTATGATCGTCTACTAATGACTAGCCCCTTATAGCCCGAGGTATCTCTGTATATATAAGAACTATCGGATTACTACGACAATATGTGGATATTTAGTGCTAAAAAACGAACGCATTCAAGCAATTTATTGTAATAGGATAGAACCAGGTCGGAAACATCAATCTTCCAGGTTTGATGGCTATTTATAATCTTCTTAACCAGCTCTATTCGTCCGTTTTTATTACCATCACCGTGGGTGCTAGTAATCTCAATAGTAAAAAGAAAAGAGGAATTACCCTCACACCGTCCTTTCAAGTAGCATTATACAGTCACTCAATCAATTAGAATGACTTGCTCCTATTTTTAGACTCCTTGGTAGACTCAGCACATTTTCGAATCATGATTTCCAATGTTGCCCGTTGCCACTCTTTACAATTGAATCTAACTTCAGTTAACACAATGACGAAGCGGGAGCTATCTTGCTGATGCCATACCCTGGGATTATTCCATTGCTTGGGGCTTTTATCGTTGCATGGCAATATATATGACTATTGATTCGATCAGTGAACTTGATGGTATTTTTAGCAAGAGTGACTACATAATACTCGGAGACCTCAATCTCCACCACCCAGCCTGGTAGGGAAGGTGATAATGCAGTACAGGATGCTAATGCTGATGCGTTGATTGATCTGACTATCTCGGCGGACCTGGACCTCTAGCTGGCCACCGGCACTATAAAGAGAGATGAATCAGGCTACCAAGCTACAATCAATCTAGTCTCTGGCTCACATGACTTACCTGAACGCTTCCTACGGGTGTCATTCGCATTCAGATTACTTGCCAATACGTACGACACTGTCTATCGAAAGCGAATCCCCTAGTAGCGCGCTAAAACAGCGTAGTTGGAAGGCCAAGGAAACGGAGAAATTCGACATAATCGTTATTGCGAACCTCCGAGGCAAGACATGGCCACTCTACACACTCCGACAGATTGATGAAGCCAGGGAGCATTTTATGGATATCATCAACCAGGAAGTTGAAGAATCCACACTGTGGGCCAGACATAGCCAATACGCGAATCCGTCATTCACAGGCAATGCCGGCAAGCGATCAGATAAACCCGACGTCTATTCAAGCGGTGGATCCGGAGGTAGATCGTTATGTTGGGCTTTTGTATCAAGTGGTTGGAGGTAAAAGCGTCAGAGAAGTAGTCCTATGGACGGTTAGATTAGGCTTGGCTTGGCTTGTATCATTCTTTGATGTACAGTTAGTTCTCAGAATAAAGTTTAGGCTGAAATAAATGGAGCAGGTGAAAGTAACCTGATGTGAGATTCTTTTTAAACTATATTATTGAATCTCGTGCAGTGATTGATTTAAGAGTGTGTTTCACGTAGAGATATTGCTATGAATTATTTTTTTCAATTCCATATTCTATATATGCTTCGTTTTGTTGACAACATATCGCGAACCGGTCTTGCTCGACAAATCATGCACAGCAAGTCAAGTTCAAGCTCGATACAGCCTTGTTCGTACAACTTTCTTTTCATTCATAGTTTCCGAATCAAGTTCAACTTGGGTCTTAAATATATCATGCTCGTCGGGTTGCCCTGGACCTCTGATAATCAAGATGCAGAGCCAAACTATACCAAAACACAGGGCACAAATGCACCGGATGCCTGTGTTCTCGGAAAAACCGAGAAGAGATATGCGTATGTAAGGTTTGGATAAAGTATGATAGCAATGTCGGTGGATCGCGTTTTCGATTGCACTCATGTGCTCATATTTTGAATTGAAACATGACAGCACATTGTGTTTCAATCGCTCATCCGTCATCGAGCATATTGAGTCCAATGTTCCGACAGACATATATAGAGGCTCAAATGATTGGATCAAAATGGCACAGTTCCTGTCACTGAAAAACAGACCTAGGGTATCGCGAGGTATAGTGTCTCCTTCAAGATAGACAGAGCTGATTTCGATATGATGGTCAGGCGTTGGTTGGAAATCGGCAGGGTCGTATTGACGAGGGGCAACAGCTTTGGCGGGCTGAACCGCTGGAATTCTCGCTGGAGTCTGAGCTTGAACATTGCGGAATAAAAAGCCTCGATTTCCCAGCTGTTGTCAAGCACACCAAAGACGTTGTTTCGGTAGATAAGTAGAGAGGTTTGTGTGGTTGGATCCAAAAATCATAATTTTGTTCAACAAGGAAGGAATCGAGTTCATCGCGAGGAAGAGTGCCTTCTTCGGAGGAAAAGTCGTCGCCTTTGGTATGACGTGCATGCATTGCTGGAAGATCAGCTGGATCGAATTAATGAGTGTGAACAGCTTTGCTTGGCTGAAACACTGGAATCTTTGTCGGAGGGAGAGCCGTAGGTCGGCTCTAGCCCCACGCACGACCGTTTCATGAACTGAAGGTGGTTCGTCGTCGAACTCAATATTGACGACTGAGGAGGCTTCTTCTCTGTCGTCAGATAGATAGGATTGGCGGGGAGCAGCATAGGGAAGACTCGCCAGGGACGCTTAGATAGATAGGCCTATAACTTTGAGGTAAGTGGATCATTTCCTTTTGTCTTCCCAACTTAGGTAGGCGTCATGACTAACGTCCATAGAATCTCATATATCTACCCAAAGCCCAAGATCGCTCACCGTTTTGGTTCCTACAGAGCCAACGTCACTTCTACAAGCCGCATAAGCTGCAATGCCGGATCCTCACCGCGGAAGAAACAAGAATTCATCTCCACCTTTAGCGTTCAGTAGCCTTACCGAAGGCTCTGTACCACTCATAAACATTCTCATTGTCAAAGAAAATATTATCAACCAACAGCTATCAGAGGCGTTTATGAAACAGGTTAATGTGCGTTGGGTGTGTGTGGCAGACGGTGCGGAGGCAGTGCGGAACAGCGACATGGCGGGTTTCATTTTGTAATTTAGATATAAAATTGCCAGTCATGAGTGGTTTGGACGCCACAAGATAAATTCGACGACGAATAGCAAAGGTGTCTTCTCCATAACTCTTTCTGATTGCTCCAATAAGCCAAGCACCAATCCTGCATTTCTACCAAGCAAAAAGTCGGAGCATTCCTTAAGTGAAGAAAATATTCTAACCAAGAGCTCTATTTTTCATAGCAAAATGACAGTCATCACGTTGACAGCTAGCAGCTTGCGAAATAAGCGTTAGGAGGCACTAACTACTGGTTTAACGACTTCTTAACTAGGGATCGATTTGCTACCTCCTGCTTGCTGCTTGAACATTAAATAACTCCATAAAAAGTCCGTCAAATTTTCTTGGCTTAAGCAGAAGAAAAATAAATAGGGCTGCCTGCAGGCACTAATCGATATTAAAAGGTCTTTGGAATGGCGCGGGGCCCATCTCCAATACATGACGTGGGATCTGGAATCGACCACGTGACATTCCCCAAACGATATAGGAATCGCAAGAAAATTGCATCTCGCAATGAATATATATATCGAATAGTCGCAATTTGCAGCTTATTTATTCCTTATTCCCTGTTCGCTGCCATATGTTACATCTGTGAATTGGCCCCGTATCAAATCCTTTATGAGATGTAGCTTGGATGGCGTGGGGTATTCTTAATGGCATATTGTGCAGAACCTGCAGCAGTTCTCAGATAGTGATACTGAGTACGATAGCTGTCACGAATGGAGGGGCAGTGGAGTTAAAGTGTATACGTACGTCGCGTGAGATACGTATGACGAAGTATGGCGTCACTTAATGTCTGACCACCATGACATATATAGTGCTTGTTTCCGGCTATCAAATTCTATCTGCACTTAACAGAACAATCAAAACACACATCTCAACACCAATTCCTCTCTTCACTTTCAGTCTTCACCATGGATACTGCCGAGGTTTGTGAATATGCTTGTCTGTGTCCTGATACACACTTACATGCATATAGAACGCTGCCAACTATGTTACCGAGACCGTGAAGGGCACTGGTGCTGAAGCTTCCAAGGAGACCAACAAGCAGGTCGCAAAGGATGACGATGCTAAGTTAAGCACTCGTGCCACCGCTGCCAAGGATGCTCTTGTCGACAAGAAGGATGAGAAGGCTCATGACACCAAGGCCGATCTCAGCAAGGGTGAGTTGATCGCCTAATAACTACTTGGTCAGTTGCTAATAATTTTGCAGAACAGGCTAAGCATGGCTAAGCACCAATGTTGACGGATATTGCTTAATTGAATCAATGGCTCAGTTACTGTTTGCTACCCCCGCTGGTCGGACACATGGCTTATAATTTGTGACTATATACCCCAAGCGGTCATAGACACTCCAATCAATATCTATTTACGAGAAAAAAACGTAATCGCTAGAAATTAATTGGTAAACAAGTCTTTGATTCTCAGATCTATGAAATTAGATGACGTCAAGAAGGCACGAGATCAGCAATAAGTGGGACAGTCCTTCAAGACATTCAGTCGCCAGCCACCTACTGATGTCATGTTACGGGGAAATTTCGAATAGTCAAGCCACAGTGGATCGACGAGTGGGGAATGCGGCTGTCGCAGCACAATTGGACACCGGGAAGGGATTGGACGCCCCGACATTATCTAAGTAGTTGGGTGAGACCGATTTTCCCGAAAGATGGAGATGCAAGTACTTGCACAGTTCACTTTCGAGCTAAAAAAGTCAACCCCACTGTCTCTCCTTCACAGTGTTATCTTTCCCTCTTCAATCCTTGACCTTATAGGCTCGCTCCCCAATAATTGACATAAAAATCTTGATGAGCATCGCTGCCAAGAGATTGGGGCAAGCAGAGAATGAGCCCGGCCTGCGAGATGCCAGTATTCTCTGCAAGAGTATAACCGGTATTTTACCGAATCTACTATCACGTATGTCACTTTCAATACGATTTAGTACTTAAATCCTAGCTAAGCCTGCAATAGATTAGCGTGTTTCGGAATAGGGTTCGAGAAAGAATCTATGATAGCAAAGTGGTGAAACTAATTTCGATTCAATCTGTACAGTCTTGAGGATTTCTCTCCAGAGTCCCTTCATCATCATGTTCTACCAAGTGAAGGAAGCCCACTGGATCAGGCTGTGCATGGTGTAATGTGGTCGAGCTTTCATCCGGCGCTTGCGAGGGGTTATGTGAGAAGCAAACCGAGTTCGAAGTGGATTCGTGGCCAAAACAACAAGGAGTTAGGACGTAATATGCGGCGTTCTATCCCGCAACTGGAGGAAGCCATTTTGGGTATCTTCATCGTCCGGAACAGAGGAAGAAGTTATACCTAGGGTGGGTATACATACCATATTTCCTCTGCCAGGTGGGACTTTCCTATCTTAGCTGCCGCCGCTTTAATAACGTGACTAGAGCCAAGCCCATTAAGTAAATTTCCGGTTGGGGCTTGTGAGGCAGTTCTAGACAGTGCGCAGAACGAACCGGGTATATATTTAAACCTAAGATAGTCGGAAGCTTCACCCATTTTAAACCAAACCCCAATGAATATACAGGAAAACAGGTTCGATTTCAGGTCGTATAAAACTCAGATACAAAGCAGGGTCGGCAAAAAAACAGAAATGATACTAAGTATCAACAAACCAATGTACATCCGTAAGTAGTAATGCAGGTAATTAGCAGTTTAATAAGAACCTATGTTCTGCATCACCGGAATCGGCTGTAACACATCCCCATGTGTAGCCATTGCCATCTCTTACCACTGCGGCACCCACGTAATAATTGCATATGCCATGCATCTGGAGTACGCTGTTGATAGCTCCGTAGATAGCATTCCCACTAATGGGCGAATTTTTGGTTTGTGATGCGAGGCACCACATTGTGTCTGAACCCCTGGGCTGTTTGAATTGTGGGGTCAGTTGGATCGGTTGAAGTGTGCTATAGGTTGAAAGAGCGGAGGTGGATTTGCTAGTCAAAAAGGTGCGCATGGCGGGATTGATAGAACAAATGTGCATGTGGATTTGATCCTGAGTTACAGTGCGCACGGGATTAATAGCCAGGCCTTGTGAACTTGGGTCAGAGATTTGCTGCCCAAAGTCCCAGCCGGTGATTGCAAGACTTGGGTGGGTTTGCAGGGCCAAGATGTTGTGTATAGGCTCGTTTGTTGTGGCTAAATTCTGGCCAGCGAGCTTCACCCAGCTCTCTCCCTGTGAGTTTTCCCACGCACAGAAGGATGCATTCTGCTGGCAAACACAGAGCGAATGGAGCCATATCCCACAGGCGTCGCAGTCCTTGTTCTGAACTGATGTGCAATCAGACATGCAGTCGGCAAGGAAGATCCCTGAAAGCGCTGCCGCACAGTTGGTCGGACCAACTGGACAACGGTTGGTACAGGAACCACCAGTGGTGAAGTCGCGGCAAGTACATGTTGCAACTTCATCACGAAATATATCACCACTTGTGCAGATAAATTGACTGACGGTCTTTTGAATTATGTTCAAACATAAAAAGATGACAGCAACAGGTAAAATCTTTTGGATAATCATTTTTGAGATAGTGAGTCTTATATCGTTGTGATACTGCTATACTCTGTGGGTGGAAATGACATATACAAGCAGGACTAGTTAGATACATATATGCCACAAGCCTTTTCATGCCGAGTACTATTAGTTTGAGACAATTAAATTGCATGACACCTCGTTGCATCAATGATATGCTCTAGCCACATCCATAGCTTACTCCAATTGTTCTGGTCCCGACTTATTACCATTTTCAGGATAGCTCTCGTTGAAATCGAGATAGTACCATGGCAACCAGACGAAACGAGCAACTACGAAAGGGCCTTGGCAGAGATCTTTCGGTAGACATCACGAATTATTATTACCAAGGAATCAAACGACCGATTATGAAATTGCCACTTTCTTTAAGAAGAAAATCCCGTTGATTAGGCATGCACTTGTCAAACAGGCAAGGTATATGATGCTGATATCAATACCGAAGTAACAGGACAGATTTGAATACTTTAATGCTCTTTCTGATGGCAAAACAAATTTTTGAGAGGTCCTCAGTGATATTCTGTGCGAAGCATGAAGGTCATGTAGACTAGCTGCCGACATGATGTCGTAATGTGGCGGGAAGAAAGTAGGTCGTCTATGCTCCGGTGCCAGTCTTGGCTTCCGCTGCCATCCGATGTTGTCTTTATCCCATTTTCACTTACGAAAGCAAAGGGTGCCTTACGCAATGTGGCATTTAATGAAAGCCTGATGCCTTATCCATATACCTGTAAGGAATAAGGCAGATATCTTAAGCGGAGAAATTTGTTACGCTGCAGTCATTCTGAAACTTGTACCAAACTGACAATACTAGTGCCTCCATTTCTACACTATCTACCGTCCAACACTCTAATGTAGATAAACTTCATTCAAGATCTTCCCATTATTTACTTCTAGCTTTAAAATGGTCAGAATCCACGGACAAAATCTAAGCTCTAACGACCAGCTACTGATTATAGAATCGTACGCGGGAACGCAACACTTTTCGACTTCCTACTTAGGCAAAAGCTCTTAGAGCTGTTCCCTCCGTTTCTAATAGCCTCATAGGATAAATACAGTAATGCCCCAGTAGACCTGGATGAAGCCCCTCCATGGGCCTTTAGGGCAATGCCCAAGCTGGGCTAGGCATGCCAAGCTTCCCCGCATTTTACATAGTCACTCAAAACGGGTTGATTGCTGGAGTTATTTAGATAAATTACACAAGACATGATGGAGATTAGCATGATTGGAGATAGCACATGAAATTTACTCATACTAAAAAGCTTTTAAGCCCGCTAGATAAATAGGATATATACAAGACAAAATTGGGATCAATCATCTCATTAGGTTGCTGTCTTAGATAAGTCGAATCAAAATTGCATTGTAGCAGGCACCTTAACTTTTGATTATTTCATAGAAATCTGATTTGTTTTTAATACCATCAGATAGCTTCCAGTCGAATTAAGTAGTGAAATGAAGATGGCACGGTGGCAGTCTGACATGGCAGATGGGTCGGTATTAACGAAGAGGATGCACAACCAACCATTCCAACGCAGGTGAAGGCATAGAGATCGGTCTCTGAGGGTGTACATCGTACTGTTCCTGGTAATATATCATGACTCAAGAATTTTAGTGAACCTTGAAGTTCCCCAAGAATCAGTCTCTGTTCCAAGTCCCATACCTCTTGTTCCGAGACATCTCTAGTCCTAGTTGACAGGCTCTAAAACTAAACCTCCATTCTTACGATAAATCCTATGCCCCTTCAGGATATCAAGACACGCTAGAATTCCGTATTTTAGGACTTCGACGTATAGAGCGCCTACGGTCGTTTCTTTTACCTATTCGATGAATAAGCACAAGTGGGCTAATATAATACTAGAAGATGAAAAATAACGCTATGTTAACTAGCTTCTCCTTCTTATGTATCCCTTCATTGATTTTATATATTGAGATTCATGGCGCATCAAGGCTAGATGCCTGACACATCAGGCATGAACGTAGTGATCAGCATTAGACCTACCAACTATAGAGACAGGAGAAGAGTTCTCATTCATATAGGGCCTTTCACTCATTGAGAGAAAAACCAAGCTCAAACAACGTCATCGGCCTTGACATAAATGCTTTCCCATTCAGTGGACTGCCAATTTTAACATTGTAGTTAAATTATCAAAAACCCGGGGTACTACTGCTATATATTATATATTCCTTAACTGCTTTAGTATATAATACTAATCATGAAAAAGCTACTACAGATGTAATGCCTCTACTATTTTGGAAGGAAAATACCTATCGTCTCCCTACTCTTATAGCCCTCGCTGGGGATATCCTTTAAGCAGGAAATACTGGTCTGGCAACTTTCACCGGGTTGACAGAACAGTCGACGAGCGATGTACGAGACTGTCGCTGTGTTGCGTCGTATGATTTTGCCAATCGCGAGCCTCTAGCCCCGTCGAAAGGCCACCGTCTGCGTGTGTCTGCGACTGCGAATGACTACGTGAACGAATCTGACCGAAAGACTCAGCACCACTGAGGTTTGATGTACGCCGGCGCATCCGGCGCTCAGACGCCTCGGCCTCGTGCCGATTCAAAGCGTCTGATGGCAGCAATACAGCGCGGTCCAGGGCGTATGGCAGGCCACGGTGGCGACCACGAATCTGCATGGCAATGATGACCAACTTTGACACCACGGTGAACTGCCCGGAAAAAGATGTGTTGACACTCGGATATCCAAATGATAAACCCACGGTACCGTAGGCTGAGACCACCTCGAACAATACGGCAAATAGTTGAAAACTGTAGTCACTCGTGTTCTGCAGCCGATTTCCTTCGGCGATAGCAATGATGAAGAGACCTAGGAACACGTACCATAGATCGAAACTGAGCTGGCGCCGCAAGTGAGCCCCGATATAACTGGGGGCCGTCTGTGTTTCCTCAACGTTTTCCTCTTCGACGCCATAGATGCCCAGACTCTTTTCTTCGTACACGTTCGTTCGACGCATCGAAATAGCAATGGGGAAGACGGAGATGTACATCATGATCAAGTACGACACTTGGATAGCTGGGTGAAGGTCCGAAATACTCACAACCCCAAATCCGGCAGTGCGAGTAGACGCGGCTTGGAACAAGCCATCGAGAACTCGGATACCAGGCGGTAAGGACGTTACAGTTGGATCGTTCAGCTGGTTCAGGTTACCACGTTAGTATCACTCCATCGTTCCTAATGCAGAGCCAGAAAGCAAAATGCTAGTTCACTCACGTCCAGAATGATAAAGAAGATCAGATCAATGCCGTTCAGGGCGACCAAGATCGCGAACAGCCACCAGGTCGCATTTCGTGGGAAGAGAAGGGTAAAGCATCGACGAGGGTGATCAAGTAAGAACTTCAATTCCTCCCACAGTGCGGTACCTTGTCTTGCAAATTTTGACATGATCCAGATCACGAAGCGCAGCATGCACGGAAACCCCGTGTTGCCAATGATGATCAAGAATGTCATGAGAAGCAGTGGAAAGACCGCTCTTTGGAAGGAGGACATTGAGTCAGGCGTTAAAGTAAATCCCAAATCGTTGAAAGCAGAGCCAGCTGTGAAGATTGCCCACCATGGACGTCCAACACCATCTGCTCTCACTATACTCCCCCATGTGTCCACCGTCATGATCCAAGGAAGCATGCAGATCAGCCCAAGAAGATGGAAGCCAACATAATACGTGACCAGCACCACGGCTAGGGTCTTCAGCGCACGATACTCAATTCCACCTAATTCGTCGCGCTGATCCTCGGTCAAATCGACGAAGTTAGAGTTTCGCGCCACGGTGGCATTCCAGCTCAAGTACGGTTGCGTGGGCCGCTCTCGCTCCGCCGTCAGTGATCGGAAAATGCCCCGAAATGTGTTTCTGGTGGCTGTGGGGCCCAGCATATTCGTATTATCGATATCTTTGGTCATGGTTTCACGGATGGTAGGTCGCGTATCTGGTCGGGAAAGTATGTTATCGCCAGTCCGGACACGCGAGAAGTCGGGCTCGTTAATCGTCACTCGAGGTCCTTCCAGCGAGCCAACGTGATCCTTCTCATCAGGATCGGTCGAGCTTTGTCGGTCGGACTGCATGCTCGATGGCTGTTGTGCCAAGTCAGGTTCCTCCTCCCTCTCATCCAGTGCTTGGGGTACCCCACCCCGGTCGTACTCACGGGGACTCGGTATGCGCAGGGCGCCTTGAGTCTTACGCTGATTTTCGAGGAAAGCGATGTGATGCTCGGGGCTTGGCTGGGTGGGCACCTGCAGACTTCCCAATCCGAATCGGCGTTCGGTGGAGGGATCCTCCGTGTCCTCCGAGTTGGAGCGTTCACTGGACGTTTTGCCTCCGACCGACTCATCATCCGTCTGGGGCTCAGTATTAGGGGTCGTGGGGTTGGGAAGTCGACCGCCTCGAGCATCACCGGCATTGTTCCGGAGTACCAAAATCGAGCGACCTCCCACCCCCAGCTCGGCACGGTTCACGTCGTGGCTATGCTTGTCCTGCGTGATTGTATCCATGCGGGATCGAGTAGCGCGCAAGGCGCGCGCATCCTGCACCACATGCTGGAACCGCTTCTCGAACCAATATAGTCGAATGAAAACTAGCCCGCCGTGAATGAAAATCGGAGTACAAAGCATCGTGACGATGTAGAACACGATCTGCTGATAAAGGCGCATATTATTTATGTCCACCGTGTTTAGCCCGCTCTGGGTGGCGGCCCCGGTCGTATGGAAGAGAGAATCTGTATAGGAAAGGTTGCCACCGGCATAGACAATGATGGAGCCGATGATCACCCAGAAGATGATATAAATGTAATGTAGGAGAATGAAGTTTAGATGGAGCTGGTTGAGCAGCGGGATTCGCTGCTTGAGGTTGTTAAGCCGGTGGATAAAGGCCGAGAACATGGTCAAAATAATGCAGCGATAGCGCCCTAGTTCCGAGATGAAGGCCACAATCCACACAGGTTGTCTTGACGGGCAAGCTGGGTAGGAGAAGGAGGGGAGATTCTCGGTCCTGCTTCACGCTTGGCAAGCTAAAGTTTAAATGCCGTGTTTGATCCTTCTTGGTCACAGAAAAAGACCGCCATACATGTGGTAGTGTCGATCGCTGAAGGAGAGCTTGTTTCGGATCGCACGAGACAGTCTAGGCCGATGTTAGCCGCGTGGCATGGAGCCACACAGAGACATGGGAGGGATCGAGGACATGGCTATGGCAATAGAGAAGGAAGAGGAGGAGAGTACATGAATGACAAAGGGGGTCGGCTCCCACATTAGTAATTAGTAACCTGACTTCTTTTTTGGGATTAGCCCAGCGACGAGGGTTCGTCGCCCCGGCTCCCCACCAAGAAAATGGCAAAAACGGCCAGCGGTAATGTAACAATGACGTTAAATTACCGCCGACTGCCAACAACGTGCACTGCCGATCGTTTCTGCAAATCGGTAAATTACTGACCAACAATAAGCAATGCACGTCTTGAAACTACCAATGCAAAATGCTATTGGCGGCAGCCCGGTACATGACAACCAAAGTTGTATGTCACTCCCCTTGACATAATAGTATGGCAAATACCTACGGAATATATCGTGACATGTGGACACTAGCCGTGAGGCCGGGACGCTCTCCAAAGGCAATCTCACAGATGATTCTTCAATCAATCATCTCAATTGGTTCCCTCAGTGCGGATACTAGCGGACACCCTTTTGCTCATTTACATCCGTGCGCGACCGTCACCACCCTTCCGTGCCCGCCTTTACGAAGGATTCACCATTCGATTTCGTCCTCGACAAAGCGAGCCACAAGATCTACCTTATTAGCCCACTTGCCCGCATCGTCATCCCCACGAGCATCTCTCCTGCTTCTGCCTTATCCCGCAGGGATGGTGGACAATATCTGGGCGGTTCCCCTCCAGCTCTCCAACTTCAATATCATAGTTGCCGTACTGGGCGGTTTCATCTCCCTGTTTGGCCTCATATCGTACCTACTGAAGGAGAATTTTTATCTTTCTGAAGCTCGTGAGTTCCCCTCCCGGTGCCGGTTCGGCTGGTTCTAGGTAACGTAGCCGCTTGCGCTCCCATGCCGAGGCGTTTGGGCAAGGGCGGAACACCAAAATCACTGACTTGTGGGGAATATCCCAGTCATTTCACTCTTGGTGGGCCTGGCTTTTGGACCCAATGGGGCAAATTTCATCCGTCCCAGAAGCTACGCCGAGTGCAATCAAAATGGTGTCTCGGCCGTTCAGTGCCGCGACAACCTCAACGCCATCACGCTCAACTTCTCCCGGCTGGTCCTGGGCGTCCAGCTGGTCCTCGCCGGCGTTCAGCTCCCTAGCAAATACCTCAAGAAGGAATGGAAGTCGGTCCTGCTACTCGTCGGCCCGGGCATGGTGGCTATGTGGCTCTCCACGAGCTTGCTCGTTTGGGCCTTTGCTAGGACGCCAAGCTTCCTGCACGCCCTCGCCGTCGGCGCGTGTGTAACACCCACGGATCCCGTGCTCTCCGCCGTAATTGTCAAGGGCAAGTTTGCGGACCACAACATTCCCAAGGATCTCCAGAACCTCATCATTGCAGAATCGGGTACCAATGACGGGCTTGGCTACCCGTTCCTCTTCTTCGCGCTCTACCTCATCAAGTATGTGGGCTCGGGCGCTACATCCGGCGGCGCCGGTGATGCCATGGGTCTTTGGTTTGGATTCACATGGGGATACACAATTATCCTTAGTATCCTGTACGGCGCCGTGGTGGGCTGGGTGGGTAAGAAGTTGCTACACTGGGCAGAGGAGCGCAACTACGTGGACCGCGAGAGCTTTCTTGTCTTCGCAATTGCCCTCGCCCTCTTCGTCCTGGGCACGTGCGGCCTCATTGGAACTGACGATGTCCTTGCTTGTTTCATTGCAGGCAACACATTCACGTGGGATGACTGGTTCCGGCTGCAGACTAAAGATGACTCACTTCAACCGACTATCGACATGCTTCTTAATGTCACTATTTTCTTGTGGTATGGCGCTTACATCCCCTGGGACTCCTTTAGCGACAACCCTGTTATTTCAACCTGGCGCCTCGTCGTTCTCGGTGCTCTAGTGCTCCTCCTGCGACGTCTGCCTTGGGTATTTGGTATGCACAAGTGGATCCACCAGATTGAGGAGGCCAGGCAGGCCATTTTCGTAGGATTTTTCGGGCCCATTGGCGTCTCTGCCGTCTTCTACCTGTTTGTGAGCATGGAGTTTATTGAGGAACATTTGAGCGACGAGGACAACATTCCCCGAAGCGACGTCAAGGACCTTGGTGAAACAATTCGAGTCGTCGTCTGGTTCCTTGCAGTCTGTAGCATTGTCAGTCGCTCTATTCTCACCTCTTTATTAGCGGAATAGGCCTCTAACGCTGCATAAGGTCGTCCATGGGCTCAGTATCCCACTTGGAAAGGCGGGATACCTCGCTCCTCGAACCTTAGGCCGGGTGCTCAGCGAGTCCCTGAACGACGAGCCCCGCGCGCTGATAGCTTGGCGCAGGATCCCGGTGCTGGGCAGGTTTCTTGCCGGAAAGGCTAACGACGTCGAGTCCAGGCGTGTCCAGCGCACTACCGTCATATCGAGACCGTCAGATCCTCATCACCCTCGCTCCGATGCAAGTACAACGGGCAATCCGTTGCAGGCTACCTCGAGTCCCGCGAGCCAGATTGGAGTCGAATCGGGGACGATAACTCCTGTTTCGGCTCGTCGCGATCGGGAGATTCGGTTCCCTGATGAGAGGTAAGTCCGGTAAGTCCGCCGCGATGGTTGAGTTGACGCCACGATGATTCGAAATGGTTGCTTGAAAGGCTGTTATCATTCAATAGCCGGGGTGCTACAGGAGTACCCTTACATTTGGACAAGGTGTGTGCTATATCATAGACTTATCTGCCTGTGGTTCTATTAACCAAATAAAGAGGACCATTCGTCACCTGAGTATCCAGGCCACTTGACTGAACGCAGCGGGTACAACCACCGGCAAGACCTTTGGCAAGGGCTATTAGTCAAGATGCACAAGCGTGATGCCTATTACGTTCATGTTAGACACCTGGGGATTTCACTCCTAAATGAATGTGGTAGAAACCGGCTGTATTATGGTGATAGTGCTTATAGTCCTCTTCAGCAATGCAGCCACCATCCAAGCTATCTTGTATTCAGGTTCGTAGCACTCTACGGCTGTCGCTTCGAAAACGTCGCGCTGTGGTGCACCGGGTAAGGCGCCCAAAGAAATATGACTATTCCTGAATTCTCATGAATATTTGTGAATGTTTGTAAAACGGTCTAATTGACTATAACTGGCTTATTTTTCCAGTGGGCTGTTGGTAGATTTGTCACCATTGGATAAAAGTGGTAGTGATCAACACGTTTGGGAGGGTTAATCAAGCCTCACGGTGTTGAGGTTTAGATCCCAGATATTCAGGCCCATGGCCTTTGCGGCAGACTTGAGCAGAACTGGCCAGTCATCAAGGGTCGTTGGAAGCCCGTGTGACCGTTGAAAAGGGGTTCTACGATTGTCCACAGCATAATGGCTGATTCCGACGTTCAACAGGCGTCATTCCGAATGTCGCCTTTGTTCGTTGACCCGGTAATGAATGGAGGGAAAAAAAAGATCTGTGCACACTGTGAGGTTCACTGAAGTTTGATTTCTTGGTGTGGGATGTCACGAGCAGGTATAATCCGATCACGTAGATGAAAGTACTCCAAGCCTGGAAGTGCCGTAGAGAGAGAGCTTGGCTTATCTACGTCACTCTTCCATCAACGTGAATGACTAATATATTACGGATAGTTATCAACTTATAGCTAACAGGAAATGCAAGATATAGCTCGCGTGGCTTTCTTGTTTTACATTCCTTCTTTTTCTGAACGCGGCTTATAGATTACGTTTCGATTTTCCCCCGCGTTGGGGTATGAACGCCTGACAGATCCAAGCATGTGAAGGATTGTGCTAATCTTTAAACATATTACTCGGATCGCAGATATATGCCATGTCTATGAAGGCAATCGCCGCCCCGCTCTCTATAATGCTGCAATGGTACCAGTGTCAGCTTCCTTCGTATGTTCGAGACTAGTATTCTAGCTGCACTGTTAATTGGTGGGCAGCCTTACCGGCGACCCCGCCTAGTTCTATTACTGCCAAACGCCTGTGCCAGGGATATTGTGCGTAACCAGATGGATGCTGTTCATTGACAGCTTGATAGATGGACCGCGGCACAGGGCACGTAATGACTCTCAATTGACGTCATCATCGCACGCTGCACATATAGAAGATCAAGTGAATTCTTCAACGCTCTAGCAAAGAATATTGTTATACCGCCAGCTCTCTAATAACCACCCGGCATACGACGAAATGGGCGGTGCTAACGCCAATGACTTTCCTGAGCACACTACCGAGATTGAAGATTACACAAAGCGACCGCCATATTTGCTGCAAGACTTGGAGAAATTTGGCGAGATAAAGTGGAATGCTCACTGCCAGTGCGGCCAGGTTAAATATGCACTGAGACGCGAAAGACCGTTGAATGCTAAATTTTGTCACTGTCGCCAGTGCCAGGTTTTGCACGGCGCGCCCTTCCAGTGGGCGGCTATATTTCCCAAAGAAGACATACTTTTCGAGAAGGGCGCTAAAGGTCTGTCGTTCTATGCGGCCGGCGAGAAAAACAACAAGTATCAAACACCCACCAAGGTCTCATGCTCGTTTTGTCGTACTCCCATCATGGACGAAGGACGCAATATGTGTCTTCTGTTCCCGCAGTTGATTGACTTTTCCGACTCGCCGGATGAGCAGCGGCAGCGAGTGCAGACATTCTTGCCAACGTAGGTTACGTATCTTGACACGAGCGAATATTGGCAGTAACAAACCGTAACCGCTAGGTGCCACATCTTCTATGAAAATCGTTTGAGAGACATCCACGATGGAATTACCAAGTGGTCGGGAATGGACAAGCAGAGCCAGCGACTAGATGACGAGGGTCAGCCGCTCGAGCAATATTGAGATGATTGTTTTGTTTGAGTTGAACTGTCCTGTTCCGCCCGCCTGAGAAAAATAGTAACGGGGTATCATTCAGGCTATATAATGTATTTCACATGCGAGTGATCTAGTATGGGGTTTTGTGGTGGACCATGTAAGACATAAATTGCCTATAAGTAGGCCTGTACAATTGTTTCATTGTCATTCAAAGCAGAGGATCAAGGAAGAAACACATGTTCCTAGATATCTGGTCATAGCACCTTTTCTATAGAACAATTTTGTCTGGTATAGCAGCCCGATTCATCCTATCCAGTATCTTTCTATTCCCATGTATATCCATGGTAAACGTACAATGTTTCATGTCGCAGGTATATAAATGAGTCTAGCTCTAATGGTAACATTGCTCAAAAGGCCATCTTACCAAATAAGGGCACATGACGACCATCACAAGTATAAGGACTATAGGGCTTCTTCTGTCTTTTTCTCGACATTGATCGCTGTCCCGAGACTCGACAATTGTTATAAATGCGTTACGAAATAGTTCACGGAAAACAAAGGGGCTACCTCAGGTTCAAGGGAAGCCACCCGCATATCATATTCCCGCTCATTTCTTCGTTTATGCATCATATATATCGCCAAGACCCTATGACTGTGTTCCTCGGTCATTTATGGAGTGTCAACTTATCATGAGCTGGATTTTTGATGGGCTGCACTAAATGAGGGTGAACGCGGTGAATGAACGCTAGCGATAAAGATGCGATAAAATTTTTGAAACTAGGTTAAATCAATTAATATAACCATGTTTCTAGAAAGGCCCAGTTTAACACTGTCTGCGCCAGTGAGAGAGGGGCAGTTTACATTGGATGTATAGTACTATGTTCAATAGCTCTATCGACATAATCAATTGTAGTTCATGCTCTGGTGTAAATCCGTCTCCCTTTGTTATTTTCACCGTAATTTGAATTTCAGACTAGAGGAATCAAGATGGAATGACTAGAATTCCATTCTCCTCAATAAAAAACCAAAGTATCAAAAAGTAAGTTAAGAATACCGTGTTTTGACGATGTGCTGTGCCTTCAGTATACAAAAAGGTCATCGAGGTTGATCCGCGCATATAAATATTGCTTGCTCCCTGCTGTTACCAGCCTTTGAACTTTGTGAAATCTCACTTTCAAGATTCTAGCTAAATTTTATTACTTCTTGCTCTCAATTATAGAGTAGCTATAGAGATTTTATTGACTACTCTTTTTCACTATAGGCCTTTTAACGCCAGTACGGCCGCGACTTAAGGTAATACTGTATGAGTAGAACGATGTATCGGTCGCAAGAATATGGACTAATTTCAAAAGCACGACTTTACTTAGAAGTGTATGACTTGCCTTCAAATATCAACTTGTATCGCTGAGATATAATATCTATTGAAATGGGGATGGCACGATGGCAGTCTGACATCGCAGAGAGGTCGATACTAACGAAGAGATCACACAACCACTCCCATGGCCTTATGTAGACGTAGAGAGCAGTCTCTGAAGGTGTAAATTGTACTGTATTGAGCCTGATGCTATATCATGAATCAAGAAGTCTGGTGAATGCCTGTAGTCATATTTGAGGTTGTTCGATCATGCTGAGATCTCTCTGTAGGAGAAGACTGCATGTCTGCTAAGGCATTTGCGATACCTCAGGCCGCTAACATGTTACTGTCACGGGATTCACCGCTACACTATTTACTTGAACGCAAAACAGAAGTATATTGGTAGAGTTGTAGCGGATTGAATACGGTGTGGAGTTTTGGTTTGGTGTCAAAAGGTTCAATGAAGCCTCTATAGATACCACCAATCTGTATACATGCACCCCACTGCATGTTGAAAGTAAAGCCCGACGGAATAGACGACAAGTTCATAAAGCACACGGTAAAATTTCGGTGGCTGTTGGTGCAATTTCAAACCCGCCCGGCGGCAGCAAGGCGCCCTGCTATACTTTAGCGCCTTTCCCGGTGTGACATAATACAAAATCCCGTAACTTTTGACTCGTATCGGACTTCTTTGGTTCCTTCCATACTGTAACAGCTAGGCTTCCCCTGTTGACTGATGTCGATTGCCTCCTGCTCAAGCTCACATAACTTCGTGGCTTCGAAACATCTCTCATGGCGACCGTGGTCTTGAAAACAGTGGAAAGTCTTGTTGTACCGGGTTCGATTCCAATGGAGGCTCTTCCAGCGTCAACACAGGAGAAATCTCAGAAACAAGACAAACAACAATCAATACGTCTGGACAACTCAGGACAAAGACATCAGCACGGCGATGCGCCAACACCACATATGGAGGGTCTTCTTCCCCACAAGAAATCCCCATGGCAGTTCTGGGCTGTGTTCCCAGCGCTGTGCATGACCACTTTTCTCTCAGCTCTCGACACGTCTATTCTATCGACTGCCCTGCCGACTATCGCTCTCGACATCAACGCTGGAGAATCATATATGTGGATCACCAACTCCTACATTTTGTCGTCGACCGTGGTCCTGCCCTTATTCGGCCAAACGTCAAATATATTCGGTCGTCGATGGGTCCTGATCCTTTCGGTCGTCATATTTGCAGTTGGAAGCGGCCTTGCAGGGGGAGCAGACAATACGGTTCAGATCATTGCCGGACGAACCATTCAGGGCATCGGCGGTGGCGGTATTAACACGCTGGTTGATACTGTCATCTGTGATCTCGTCCCTCTTCGCCAGCGAGGGAAATATGTAGCTCTCATGGCAGCCGTATGGGCAGTAGGGACGGTGGTTGGTCCCGTGCTAGGCGGTGCCTTTGCTGAATATACGTCGTGGCGCTGGATCTTTTACATCAATCTTCCTCTAAGTGCCGTGTCACTGATATTACTTTTGTTGTTCCTTCGAGTTTCACATCCACGTGCTGGCGTTACCATATGGCAACAGCTGCGCCGTGTTGACTACATTGGCAACGCCATTCTCGCAGCCACGGTTGTCGCGGTTTTGCTGGCACTCAGTTGGGCAGGAATTGACTACCCTTGGTCATCATGGCGGGTCCTGGTGCCTCTGGTTCTAGGGCTAGCGGGTTTATTTCTTTTCTACGCTCATCAACAGTCACGGTTCTGTCAGGAGCCCTCTATTCCGACCAAGTTATTCTCAAGTGGAACGGCTGTTTGTGCACTATGGATTGCATTCATTCAATCAGTATTGCTCTATTGGGTTGGATATTTTCTTCCTATATATTTTCAGGCAATTCGCAGCTCGACCGCTACCGAGTCCGGATTATTTGTACTCCCTATTACGGCGGCTATCGCGCCCTTTGGCATCATTACTGGTGTCTTGATCGCTTCCACCGGGAAATATCGTGCTTACCATTTCCTGGGCTACATATGCCTCACCGCTGCCATCGGATTGTTCTCACTGCTAAACGAACATTCGCCCGCTGGGCATTGGGCCGGCTTCCAGGTACTTTTCGGCGCGGGCTCGGGAATGATCTTTTCCAGCACCCTGCCCCCTATCCAGGCATCCCTCCCTGACTCCGATATGGCCACTGCTACCGCAACGTGGGCATTCATGCGTAGCTTTGGTTGCATTTGGGGTATCGCGATTCCGACTACTGTCTTCAACGCGCGGGTTCAGAAGCTGCTATACCGCGTCAGTGATGTTTCTATGCGTGAAAAGCTTGCTAATGGAGGCGCGTATGCAATGGCTAGCGATGGGCTTATACGTACTTCAAAATACACTCCCCAGTTAATGGCGGAAGTACTAGGTGTTTATCAAGGTAGCTTGCAATTGGTATGGTGGGTTGCTATTCCATTTGGTGTTATTGGACTTCTTCTTTGCATACCTATCAGACAACTGGTGCTAAGTGAGGATTTGAACACTGAGTTTGGATTGCAAGTGGGAGAAAGAAGGGAATAAAGGAACACGTACGGAATAGGTTAGTTTCTGGTGCTTGTTAGCTTCTAGGCTTTTATTGAATCTACATCTTCGCCGCCGAGATTCCTTTTTGCATCCGAGTTAAAACCATTTGAGCTATATTTTGGATGCAAGGAAATCCGCGATTAGGTTATCACCGACGTATTCCCTTGTTGATAAGGCCTTTCTTGTTAGGGGGTCTATGTCACGGCGTGGCGTTGCTTACGCACGCGTACAATTGTGCATACTTAGTCAGTATCTTTATCAGTCACAGGCATGTCAACCTGACGCCATTTGTCTAGTTCATAAAAGGCGAGGCTGACTATGTTCAATGCAGAGAGGCTTTGATCGCTGAAGCATTAGAAAGGTTGAGATACAGCGAGTGCGTACGTCTCGTATTTGAAGCTTTGAACTTTCAGTTGAAGACTGATAAATTCATCGCGGCGCTGCGGAATAGCATTAACAAATGTAGCCAGGCTACAGATCTATATTTTGCGTTAGTATATTAAAGTAATCGTAGTAGAGATCTTAGATACGTGTTTTAGTAAGAGTTCCGAAACGGAATCAGACGTAACGAGGATTTATATAAGTATTATTAGCGATTTACACGATAGATTGAACCTGATTGCCCCGGTTTCTCACAAGACCTTAACATTTCCCATGGGACTCCCACCATGGGACCGTCCATAGGGGCGGCTCACTGGACTAGACCTCGGTGGGAATTCCCAAGGATTTAGAGTTTGGCTGGTCCCAATGGGAAATGTCAAGGTCTATTTCTCATTGCCTTCAAGAAGCTAATACTATAGCTAGCTATAGCTAGGAAACCCTATAGCTCTGACGGTTGTCAGAAATCTAGTGCCGTAGCCTAAAGAACCCATTTCAAGTACATTGAGAATTTAGGTCATAGAAAGAATACTTCGCTTATGACCTAGAGACCCAAAGAAACCAAGCAAAAACTACATAAACATATAGTGACAAGGACCCACCTGGTTTGCATTGTTTGCCAAACCATTGGGGCCCCCAAGAAACAAGAACCATTGCGGTTATGCGGTTTTTGGCGCACTCTAGCTTCTAATCCCTAGCTCCGTTTTCTGACGGCCATCAGAAAAGCTTGTGCAAGAGC